ACTTCAGGTGACTCCTGAGAGATGGACAAAGGGTTTTAATAGTGCCAATTTTTTTAATAAACAATAATCTAACACTATCTAAAGAAGTGCAACTTATTATGTAACTTCTCATGTACACCACTATTTTCTTCTTATAAAATGCATGTATTTTCAGTCTTACCAAGCAAATCAATGTTCAACCATTTTGAACAAGGAATAACTACCTTTGGAACCTGTGGTTTGACTGAAAATGGATTCATAGGGGATCCCAGTGTTTTCTTCTTCTTCAAAGTAATGACTGGTGGTGGAGTGAGCAAAACTGGCTTCTGTGAAACATTCAAATGATCATGAGGTCATAAACCTGCAATGCCTGACATACTGTAGTACAAACACTGTAGATAAAAAAGCACCTACAGGATGCCTGTATTAAAAGTAGACAGCTATTGATTTGATACAAAAGGTCATTCACCTCAGAGTGCAGGTCCTGCAGAATATCTCCCAGCAGATCATCTTGAGACAAATCCACATGTTTCTATAATGCAAACATGGATATAGACATTTCTGTTATACCTCTCTGACCTTCATTACAGATGCCAAATTGCCAAATAATGACAGAACTTTCCTTCATGTTTGAACTACTCCATAAATATTTAAGTGCAGGTTAATTTAAAGGTGACATCTCATGAAAATCTGACTTTTCCAGGTTTTAAGTGCTATAATCAGGTCCCTGGTGCATCTACAAACCAAGGAAATGTGAAAAAGATTAACCCAATCACTTTGTTTTGGTAAGCCTTTTTCTGCAAGCATCCGAGAAAACGAGCGCGTCTGATTTCGCTCCCTTGGTGACGTGATTCAGCGGAAGTTGGCTGGAGTCCACCTGCACTTCCACAGGAGTCTCAGTGGGTTCCCCCTCCTCAATCTTCTCCCAGCCCATACCACCACCCAGTCCAGATCTGAGGAGCGCAAACTAGACAGTTATGGCAGAAAACGGCCTTCTCTAATCTGCGAAGGGTCTTTGTAGGAAGATTGTCACATCAGTGCAAATATAGACTATTCTTAATTCAAAGCCTGTGTGTTTTGCAGACATACATTAACATCTCATCCTGTGGCTCAGTCTTGGGCTCCACTTTAACAGTGGGTGTGGTCTCAAGCTCAACCTCCTCAATGTTCTCTGCCTCCATGGACTCATCAAAGTCCATCTCATCAAACTCAATCGCCTCTTCTAAATACAAATTTCAATCACAATTAAAAGCGATAAATTTTTTAAGAAACTGCACCCAAAGACTGCAGGAATAAAAGAGGGCAGATATACCTTCAGGCTCTTCAGTCTTGGGCTTCTTTATCTGTGTAGCAGCTGGTTTACTAGGTTGAACGTGAGCAGAGGACCTGGGTGAAAGGTCAGCTGGAGGAACCCGTGTCACCACAGGTCTGGGCTTCGACATTTGGACTTCAGGTGACTCCTGAGAGATGGACAAAGGGTTTTAATAGTGCCAATTTTTTTAATAAACAATAATCTAACACTATCTAAAGAAGTGCAACTTATTATGTAACTTCTCATGTACACCACTATTTTCTTCTTATAAAATGCATGTATTTTCAGTCTTACCAAGCAAATCAATGTTCAACCATTTTGAACAAGGAATAACTACCTTTGGAACCTGTGGTTTGACTGAAAATGGATTCATAGGGGATCCCAGTGTTTTCTTCTTCTTCAAAGTAATGACTGGTGGTGGAGTGAGCAAAACTGGCTTCTGTGAAACATTCAAATGATCATGAGGTCATAAACCTGCAATGCCTGACATACTGTAGTACAAACACTGTAGATAAAAAAGCACCTACAGGATGCCTGTATTAAAAGTAGACAGCTATTGATTTGATACAAAAGGTCATTCACCTCAGAGTGCAGGTCCTGCAGAATATCTCCCAGCAGATCATCTTGAGACAAATCCACATGTTTCTATAATGCAAACATGGATATAGACATTTCTGTTATACCTCTCTGACCTTCATTACAGATGCCAAATTGCCAAATAATGACAGAACTTTCCTTCATGTTTGAACTACTCCATAAATATTTAAGTGCAGGTTAATTTAAAGGTGACATCTCATGAAAATCTGACTTTTCCAGGTTTTAAGTGCTATAATCAGGTCCCTGGTGCATCTACAAACCAAGGAAATGTGAAAAAGATTAACCCAATCACTTTGTTTTGGTAAGCCTTTTTCTGCAAGCATCCCAGAGACTTATATTACATATTGTTAAAAGGGGCATAATATGTCACCTTTAATTAATATTTGAATTAAACATTTACATAAAGGCCAATTTTATGCAGAAGTACCAAACTGTGAACAAAGTGGCACAGTGACTCTTACCTCAGCAGGTTTCTTCACATTGCTATTCATGAACATGCTTTTAATGCTGTTGGGTTTACTGACAGACACTTTTTTCACATTCTTTTTCGAATCCCCTCCCTTTCCACCTTGTTTACCTGTTTACAGTCAAAGAGAGAGCAAAAATAACTGG